ATGATCTTGACTTATCGGCGTGTCTAAATTCCTAGATGATCAGCAACAACCCGCGTGTGGTCGGTATCCGTGACACGGAGTCCGTCCAGTCATTTCAACGTCATCTTGCCGACGCCAGACGGATGGTTGTAGTCGGAAATGGTGGCATCGCAACCGAAATCATGTAGGCGCACTTGCATTTTGGTATCCTAGTTTGCTATTTCTGTCTGTGCGTCTGAGTCATGTGTTGTTGTATCGGTTTGTAACATCCAGTGGGTGTATCACTACAAGAAGGCTGGTTGTCCTTCTGGTACAGGTGTGTACAGCTGTCCAGTACTGAGCTGTTCATTGGATAGCGGTGTCTGTGCTAATTTGGAAACTACGTATAGACGTCTGACGGCCGGTATGCTTTATTTTCACCTGCCTCACGGTTAGATAAATAACCACTGCCAGATGGGACCGGAGTTACTCAGTCGATATAACGTTAGATTGAGAACCGAGAGGTCTGGGATTCGAGCTCATACTCGAATCATTCGTCTTTCTTCCTGCCACTGATTTAGAGATCTTCTTAGTTCTTTTTGAAGATGCCCTGTCCATTACGGCTTTGACTTCTTTACTCATGCAGTGAGATTACACACTGCTGTTTTTAGTCTTACCAATTCGTTCGACTTCTTATTTCTTCTCATTATTCCCAGCATGCGGCTTTCCACGCTGCGGTGTCTAATCTCCAGAGTGTGAATAGCTTTCACGCTATGGCAAAACGTTTTTCATCCGTAAGTGGGCATCAGAAGAACATACCGATTGAATGATTACCCTTTCACGTGAAGTACCTATGCTTACTTCAAAGTCAAGTTTATCTACTTTCGTCCGCTAGTCGAATGGACAAACACCTTGCTCCTCAGTTGATGATCGTGTAAATCGAAAATATAGAAACACTCATCTGTTGTTGAATTGGCCAGACAACAGAAATGATAAATCTGTGAAAAGTGCTGCAGCTTTACGTAATGAAGTGACCAATGAGCGCTCGATTCACTGTTGAAGTTGCCATTCGTTCCCATTGGTTTCTATTATCCATTACTCATTGGATTCTATTTCTTGAATTCGATGACAACTTGTAAAGCGATTCTTTTTGGTGGGTCGCTTTTTAATGTATGAGAACTAAAATTTTCTTTATGTGTGTATTCATGGCATAATCAGTTGATCTTGCGATGCATGAGTTATTAAAGATAAGTATTCATTCAGTTTAATGTTTATTCAGTGTAATGTGCCTTGTTGGTCAGTAGGACAATAACAAGTTATGGTTTTAGAGCGCATGAATAACAAATGAGCAATATTCAGTGAAGCAGCAGGAGAAACAGACGTGATGATCGGCTAGATTTCATGTGAGGTTTTGCGTTGTCAGTATACTCACGTTCAGTATTCAATAAAAGTATGAAAGTAAAGGGTAGAACTGATCGTCTGTGAGCTCCCACTGCCTGGGATATAACCTGTCAAAATTTGTTTCTGACTATAGCTTAGACCGACAAGTTTCTAATGCATCACACTTGGGATGTATTGGATCATCTTTAATGGAAAGTTATGGTTTCATAGGTAGAGGCAGCCAAAGCAGGAAAAAAATTTGCTCCACTCTCGATTGATGAAGTCGATTTTCGGCTTCAAGCCGGCTATTTTTTTCTTGAAGTTTGCATTTGTTTAGAGCGGAAACCAACAACGTCGAGGTGGTCTGGGCCATCAAGCACAAGAGCATCGCTGCAGCATTTCTCGATTCCGGTGCTGCGCAGTTTCTTCTACCTCGGCTAAATGCAGCTGAGCCGCCAACAGAAGCATTCAAGAAACGATTCAAGCATGTTCATGAAGGTACGCGAATCTTTTATGTATAATCGCCTTTTATTATAGCGTGGCTAATTGAATACTAACTCCAGTAATTCGTTATGATGTAGTTGTTACTTTATAGCACTTTCCACTTTCGTTTTCAAAGCGAGAAATCACACGATGCCGATATGCCGTTCAAATTGATCACAGATCACTAATCGTATACTCGTTCCTGAATTTGCGTCAACACCCTGAACTTCATGTCAGAAAACTTCATATTCCAGTTGCACTACTCCATGTTAACAAATAAATAACCGATTGCTAGTTAGTATTAATCGCAGTGAAACTTTGAGTACTGGTGAACAAATTGAGGACCGGTGTGACCGTGCATTGCTTTGAGAGAATCCACTTTCAGGAAGTAAAGCGCTTACTGAAAGCTACTCTGGCGTGTGAATCTATATTTTTGATGTTTTGCAAATGCATGTAAGGTATACTAGCTGCTGGTATACCTTATACGAATATCGTTGATCACAAGCTGAGTATTGTTTTAGCCAGTAAGCGTATGTTAGATGCATCGGGCGCTACAGTGCTCAAACGCAATTGAACCATCTTACGTAAATGACTTCCTTAAATATAATGGAGCAAGGAGACGCGGCAGTTCGCCGCGAAATCAGATTTTAAATGTTTACATGCTTATTAAATACTGTAGCATTTGACATCCTTGTCAACCCAATTCACTCGAGAAAGTGCCATTTTTTGAAGCTGCAACCACATGCTGACGTAGTAAATCTGACTTGAATTTGTTCACGGTGCCTGTAAAATGATGCATTAATGGCAGGTCATTATTACTATTTACAATATTCTCGTTATTCTCTCTTGTTAACATTTAGGCGTTTCGTGACTGCCATGGTAAGATCTAAATCGATTTCTGGGTTACGCACCTTCTGCTGACTATTACACTGGATAATCAGCCATCAGTTTGGTCAAGACAAAATACAGCCCCAAAGGCGCTCACATCGGATATCGTTGCAGTATATCACGTCCAAATTAGAATACCATACTATACCTAGTATTCGCAAATCAGTGACTTTCTGCCAGTTTTTTGCTGGTTGCGCCGAAGCAACGCTGGCTCAATTCCTTGCTCAATGGTAAAGACATAGTCTGTCCCTTAAGCGGCTTCAGACCGTCATATCCGGCATTCAAACCTGACCTGTTAGCCTCAGTGCGTCCCAGTGGCTTCAAATGTGTATTGAATTTGGGAGTATCTCCCCATTTGCTATTGCTACGGTTCTGTATTTTGTGTTTCGTTTATATTTTAGCTTCGTTTTGCTTGTTACTTAAAAACATTATTGCAGTTACATTTTTCTTTTTGTTTCGGGTTTCGACTTAACTGAAGGCTTTTTTAAATTTTAGCTTCCAGACGAAACGCCGGTGAAGAATGTTTTGGCAGCGCGCTTGGACCTGACTGGACAGAAGATCTGTTGATATCTGGTGCTTGTCAGGTAACGTTTTCCATGTTCTTGTGGCAAATCGTTTGGTTAAAGCAAACTGTTCTTCTAGGATAAAAAGGTATACATCGAATATCAGTGCGCCGTCGATGAAATTCTGACTCCAGAAGAATTCAGACAGCGACATCTAAGCCTCAGCGACTTACCAGATTCGTTTTCATGTCAAAGTAAGCACTACGCTCTTCTGTGACCGTGGTTCCCTGCCTGATTCCCGAGATCGTTCATGAAACTTCTTTAACAGTGACGTTTTCCGATGCCGCCTATAGTGATAGTACTGTAAAAGACAAAATGAAAACTTTACCTTACCAGTTTATTGTTGTGGCCATCGGTGTACTATAATCGATCGTCAGTAGAATGTTTATTGGTTGGAAAAACTTTTATGACATGCCTTAGTGGAAATTGACCAATGGCCGTTTACATTGCTAAATATTTTAAAATATTTTCTATCCTTTGCATATTTGCTAAATTTATACTGTAATGTTTCTTCGTGTTACTAAGGATTGAGGTCATTCTACTGCTTGTCCATGTTAATTCGTAAATAAGGCATGATAAAGAAATTTTCTTCAATTC